TCATTAAAAAAATTCACCAATAAATTGCTCTTCCTGGAAAATGACAATAATAATAATATAATTATACTGTAATGTTTTACTCAAATACCAAACGAGGGTGACTTTTATTTTGAAGACTTTAAACAGGAAGTTCGAAATTAGGTGTTGTTGGCATACGGGTCCGTGCAGAAGCATCATAGACGAGCCATCTCCGTAGCTAGGTTTTCTGAAGTTATTTTACATTCCGCTATCAGCACATTATTAGTAAGAGCTAGCTCGCCAGAAATGGATATTGCACGAGAAATGCAGAGATGACCAAAATCACGAATTATCCAGTCAGTTATTTTTATCAACTCCCGTCAAGTTTTGACAAAACTTCCTGTTTCGATATGGTTAGCTAGCTGGTCTGTAAGTTAGATAGCAACGATAGCTACTTTAGCCTGTTCTGCTGACACAGGTGGCTGATATTCTCTGAAATATTGGAACTAAAGGTATTGTTTTTGTCTTGTGTCAGTGTCATCGAATGACAGATTGCTATTACATATGATGTGGTTATCTGATACGTAAAATACCTAACTAGCATCTCAGTGCTTGAGGCGTCACTACAGACCCCCTGGTTCGATTCCAGGCTGTATCACAACCGGCCGTGATTGGGAGTCCCATAGGGCGGCGCACAATTGGCCCAGCGTCGTCCGGGTTGGCCGGTGTAGGCCGTCATTGTAAATAAGAATTTGTTCTTAACTGACTTGCCTAGTTAAATAAAGGTAAAATAAAGGTAAAATAAAAAAAAATTAAAAATCCATGCGATGTAATATCTGGCAGGCGTCAGCAACGCCTGGGCACAAGAAGATCTTTACATAACGACAGTCTTCATTATTTTGTAACCTTAGCTAGCTAACGTTGTTATTGCCTAGCTGGCCAGCTATCATGTCAGTAGGAAATGAGTTTTAAAAAACAGTGAAATATAGAGGTTCTAACGTTAATCAGTCACTGCAAGTGATTTTCAATACGGATTGTTAAATTCTTGAACTGGAATCAAACTAGTTCATTCATTGAAGGTAACGGTATATCCTATGTCTGCCGGCTGAGCGCTCCGACTGTGCCCCGAAGCTCTGTCTAAACGCAAATACGCCTCGTACGGGAAACAGTTTTGGAAAAATATGAACCTAACTTTCATATCAGTTAAAAATATTTTTCAAAAAACATAAGGTTAAATTGCTACACACTTTTTTAGGGTTAGGGTTCCCACACGGCCATATTTCCATGTTACATCGCTTGTTTACGGAAAAGTCGGCGACTACCTGTCTTAATTAGCTATCTTCATCTCTGAACACATGTGTGCAACGGAAGAAGGATGCCACAAACATGTTGTAACTGGAAAATATTGTCGACTGTAACTGTGTCAAAACCGGAAAAAGTGTAAAGTAAGTGTATATTTTGATATGTAAGTAGAGGGCTTTGTTTCTACAACCGTACCGCAATTGAGAATCGATTCACGTTTAAGTCCTTGGACTAAAGGAGTAGGCTCCTTTTAGTATATTATTGGGCTAGAATCAAGCATGCTGTTTAAGTTATTATCATGGCTAGTTCTGACCGTTTGCCTCTAGAGGCAAGTATCTGGAGCCAAAAGGGGTCTGCTATGGACAGAGGTAATGTGCCCATAAGTTATCTACCTCATTGGTCAGAAAGCGCTAGTTAGCCAACACTAACCATATGAGACCCTACAGAGGGGCGGCAGGTAGCTTAGTGGTTAAGAGCGTTGTGGCAGTAACCGAAAGGTCGCTGGTTCTAATCCCCGAGCCGACTAGGTGAAAAATCTGTCGATGTGCCCTTGAGCAAGGCACTTAACCCTAATTGCTCATGTAAGTCGCTCTGGATAAGAGCGTCTGCTAAAATGTAAATGTAAAGTATACTACAAAGCAGGTTCAATGAGTTAGTTAGCCAGCTAACTTTGATAAACAAACAACTATTGCGTTTGGGATGATCAGAAATACAAATAGCATATATGGGTTTTGGGTTCTTGAGTCAGTTAGATAGACCATGCCCATTTCAAGAAAAAAAGAAGAATATTTGGACAAGTTAGCTGGCTAACTTATTGATCCTGTAGTATACCCCTCAGCACCAGCTGGAGAGGCAGAATTGTTTACTTCTTACTGTGATGAGTGTATGGCCATATACAGTCAGATTCTCCTCAGACATATACATTTTACATTTTTAGTCATTTAGCAGACGCTCCTATCCAGAGCGACTTACAGTTAGTGAGTGCATACATTTTCATACTGGCCCCCCGTGGGAAACGAACCCACAACCCTGGCGTTGCAAGCGCCATGCTCTACCAACTGAGCTACAGTGTATTCAGACCCCTTGACTTTTTCCACATTTTGTTATGGATTAAATTGTTTTTTCCACCTCATCAATCTACACACAATACCCCATAATGCCAAAGCAAAAACAGGTTTTTAGAAATGTTAGCATATGTATTATTTAAAATAAAATACATTTACATAAGTATTCAGACCCTTTACTCAGTACTTTGTTGAAGCACTTTTGGCAGCGGTTACAGCCTCAAGTCTTCTTGGGTATTACGCTACAAGCTTGGCTCACCTGTATTTGTGGAGTTTCTCCCATTCTTCTCTGCAGATCCTCTCAAGCTCTGTCAGGTTGGATGGGGAGCGTCGCTGCACAGCTATTTTCAAGTCTCTCCAGAGATGTTCGATCGGGTTCAAGTCCGGGCTCTGGCTGGGCCACTCAAGGACATTGAGACTTGTCCCGAAACCACTCCTGTGTTGTCTTGTCTGTGTGCTTAGGGTCGTTGTACTGTTGGAAGGTGAACCTTCGCCCAGTCTGAGGTCTTGTGTGCTCTAGAGCAGTTTTTCATCAAGGATCTTTCTGTACTTTGCTCCGTTCATCTTTCCCTTGATCCTGACTAGTTTCCCAGTCCCTGCCGCTGAAAAACGTCCCCACAGCATGATGCCACACCACCATGCTTCACCGTAGGGATTGTGCCAGGTTTCCTCCAGACGTGACGCTTGGCATTCAGGCCAAAGAGTTCAATCTTGTTTTCATCAGACCAGATCATTTTGTTTCTCATGGTCTGAGAGTCCTTTAGGTGCCTTTTGGCAAACTCCAAGCGGGCTGTCATGTGCCTTTTACTGAGGAGTGGCTTCCGTCTGGCCACTCTACCATAAAGGCTTGATTGGTGGAGTGCTGTAGAGATGGTTGTCCTTCTGGAAGGTTCTCCCATCTCCACAGAGGAACTCTGGAGCTCTGTCAGAGTGACCATCGGGTTCTTGGTCACCTCCCTGACCAAGGCCCTTCTCCCCCGATTGCTCAGTTTGGCCGGGCGGCCAGCTCTAGGAAGAGTCTTGGTGGTTCCAAACTTCTTCTATTTAAGAATGATGGAGGCCACTGTGGTCTTTGGGACCTTCAATGCTGCAGAAATGTTTTGGTACCCTTCCCCAGATCTGTGGCTCGACACAATCCTGTCTCGGAGCTCTATGGACAATTCCTTCGACCTCACGGCTTGGTTTTTGCTCTGACATGCGCTGTCAACTGTGGGAGCTTATATAGACAGGTGTGTTCCTTTCTAAAACATGTCCAATCAATTGAATTTACCACAAGTGGACTCCAATCAAGTTGTAGAAACATCTCAAGGATGATCAATGGAAACAGGATGCACCTGAGCTCAATTTCGAGTGTCATAGCAAAGGGTCTGAATACTTATGTAAATAAGGTATTTCAGTTTTTTATTTTTAATACATTTAGAAAAAAATTATAAAAACCTGTTTTCGCTTTGTCATTATGGGATATTGTGTGTACATTGATGAGAAAAATAAATAATTTAATCAATTTTAGAATAAGACTGTAACGTAACAAAATGTGGTAAAAGGGAAGGGGTCTGAATACTTTCCGAAAGCACTGTACACTCACTGGCCAGTTAAGTAGGCACACCACCCTGTTCATGAAAATAGTTTGCTCCTACAGACAGTGAGTCAAGTGGCCGTGGCTTGCTATATAAAGCAGGCATCGAGGCATTCGATTACTGTTTGATTGAACGTTAGAATGGGCAAAACGAGTGACCTAAGCGACTTTTGAGTGTGGTATGATCGTCCGTGCCAGGCACGCCAGTTCCAGTATCTCAGAAATGGCTGGGTCCTGGGCTTTTCACGCACGACAGTGTCTAGGGTTTACCGAGAATGGTGCTACAAACAAAAAGCATCCAGTCAGCGGCAGTCCTGTGGGCGAAACAGCTCGTTGATGAGAGGTCGAAGGAGAATGGCAAGAATCGTGCAAGCTAACCAGTGGGGCCACAAACAGGCAAATAGCGGTGCAGAACGGCATCTCTGAACGCACAACTCGTCGGTCCTTGTCACGGATGGGCTATTGCAGCAGACGACCACACCGGGTTCCACTATCAGCTAAAAACAAGAAGAAGCGGCTCCAGTGGGCTCGCAATCACCAACACTAGAAAAACATTGCCTGGTCCGACAATCCCGGTTCCTGTTGCGTCATGCTGATGGCAGAGTCAGGATTTGGCATAAGCAGCATGGGTCCATGGACCCATGGCCCCATTCTGCCTGGGGTCAACGGTTCAGGCTGGTGGTGTAATGGTGTGGGTTATGTTTTCCTGGCACACGTTAGGTCCCTTGATAACAATTGAGCAAAGTTTCCATGCCCCAAAGAATTCAGGCTGTTCTGGAGGCAAAGGGGGAGTCCGACCCAGTACTAGATGGGTGTACCTAATAAACTATAGTCAGAGATTCTCCTCAGACACACAGCTGCCAAGTTGCTACCTATTTTGCGTCTGCTATATTGCCATAGACTAGGCTATCTTGGAAAGGAGCCCAGCAATTCAGTATGTTGAACAAAATCCCATTTCCATTTACTCTGCTGGTTCATCGGGGTGTTGGAAATGTAATTTTGTTCATTATTCTGACTTGCAGGGCCAGGCCATATAAAAGCCAGAGCATATCGTACATATATATTCTCACCTCTCTTCCCTCTCCTTTTTGAATCCAGTCTGCAACCCAACTCTGAGCCATGTCGTCACGAGTGCTGCTTCGGCAGCAGCTGATGCGGGAACAAGCCCAGGAGCAAGAGAGACGGGAGGCCCAGGAGCAGGCCTCTGTGGCTCAGCTCAGGGCAACTGACTCCACCCCTGCTATCGCTGTCACTCTGCCCCCAATAGCTGCTCGCCCTCCGCCTGCACAGGTGCCCGTGGAGGTTTTGAAGGTGAGGCTCCACTTCTAAAGGCTTCTCTCCAGAGGAACTACACTAGCACGGCATGCTACACCGTTAAATTGCTGCGTATAACCTCCATACGAAGTTGGCATGTTACAAGTTGCATTCTCTGTTCACTGTTTGACTGACATGTTATATCTTTCAATCTGATAGGTGCAGACCCATCTGGAGAACCCCACCAAGTTTCACATCCAGCAGTCTCAGAGGCAGCAGGTGAAGCAGTATCTCTCCACCACCCTCTGCAATAAGGTGGCAACTCAGACCCTGCGTGTGTCTCCCCTGGCCCTGTCTAGCTCTGCCCCTGAGATGGCTCCCACAGCCCACAGTGCTCCCAACAGCTCCATGGCTTTACTCAACCTGGGATCCAACAAAAATGAGGTATGTCCCATGTGGCTCAGTTGGTAGAGCATGGCGCTTGCAGCGCCAGGGTTTTGTGTCAAATCCCCAGGGGGAACAGTACGAAAATGTACACAAAATGTATGCACTCACTAACTGTAAGTCGCTCTGGATAAGAGCGGCTGCTAAATGTCTAAAATGTAAATGTATGACTGAAGACCATTACACTGCAATACATCACTCACATTGGCTTGTAAGAAGCAGTATATAACTTTGTCGTGTTCTTATTTTTATTTCTCGTGTGTTTTTGTTCTACCTTGTTATTTTTAGTGCTACATTGATATTAATTACTGCATTGTTGGGTTTGGAGCTGGCAAGAAAGGCATTTCACTGTACTTATGCACACTTGTTGTCTTAAGTAGGATGGTATCATGCTGCAGTTTGTGTGGACTTAGTCCTTTGCTGCATGCAACAAAAATAAAGTTACAAATCTGAACTCCCACAATTTACAGGCATTTTGTTTAGTCTAAGTGGAATAAAGCTAAGGGAAGTCCATGGATTAAGCTAACAATTGAACAACTTCTCATTGTATCTTTCCAGACATATTTTTGATGAAAGTTTAGGCTAAATGTCTAGACTGCTGGTCACTTATTTCTTAATTACTTTTTTGTTTGTTCTGTTGTGACATGCTTGAGGTCTCACAACGAGGATGCATGGCTCCTCTTGTTATCTTGCCCTTGTTGGCTTGGTGTCACAGTCTTCTGTTAAATACTACACTGGCAGCTTAATGATATCTGCACCTCTCTTACACACATGCCTTTGCTTTTGAAATCATGCTTCATTAGGGCAAGATAATGACATGCTTTGTGTCAGTGTTCCTCCCCTATACGTTTCAAATAAGTAATTTAATACACTTAAATTCAAGCTGTCTTTAATGTTTCTCATTAAAAATATATATTTTAATAGGTGTTCTATTAATATAAAGCTGATAAGTTATTCTATGTATTGATTGGGTGTGTGTGTGTATCTTTCCAGATAGATGGCGTAATTGACGACATCATCAGCCTTGAATCAAGTTTCAGTGATGAGTTCATGACATTAATTGAATTGGGTCTACAGCTGCCTAGTACGGTATGTGGAAATGTGTATTTATCAGTGTTTTTGTCCATTGCACTTGGGCTAATCCAAAAACACTAGTATGGACAAGGTTAAATGAAATGTATGGGTCTGTCAAATTAGTGACACTCATTCAGTGAAATTCAATTAACAACTAGCCTGTCGTTCTTGGAATTATCTTTCTGTATCTGTTGTGTTGGTTGATATTCTCAAACTGGAATTCAGTGGTGCTGTAGGAGTAAACATACACTTCTGGCACTTAACTAAGACTCGTCAGGCCAGTGTTGTCTGGGTGGAGTAGCAACGAGGAGAGAGGAGGACAAAGCATGCAGGGCATGGCAGCATGTGAAGTTGGAATAGTGGACAATGTAGAGAGGGTTCTGAAAATACTTCAACTACTGAAAATACTTCAACTATTTTAACAGTCAAGTTGTTATAGGGAAAGGGATTTAAGATATTGCGCCCGCATCAGAAGATGAGGATTTTGATTTTGCTTCAGGAGCATGAAAAAAAAAAGAGAGAACATTGAGGTAAATCAATCATGTTGTCAGGTAGCAAAATTGCATTGTTAAGGGGAATGGACATTTAGCCATTTCTCTCACATTTATGAGAATTTATAGCCTACCTCAAGACCCATCAGATTTGTTTGTTTCAAATGCGCTAATGCTTTTGGATAACTTTTATTTGAAGGTTCTGCAAGGTTATTAGGCCTATACTAAATTGCGATGACTTCTTTATAAGCCAACCAACCTGTAATATGTTAATTTAGTATCCTTGAATGTGAAATATAGTACAGTAATACAATGTAGCCTAGCTTATACATGTTCTACTTCTACCAGGATAGCTCTTACAAGAACATGTTCTTAAAAAAAAAATTTTTTTACAGAGACCGTACACATTAATCAACATTTCAGTAAAAGTGCCGGTTTTAGCCAGCCAGCTAATTTTCAACCGCAGTCCCTGGGAAGGTTATTAAAAACTATTACAATAACAATACAGACAAACAATGAGCAGTGAGCACATGCAGAGCAACATAGGACAAGCAACACGTAGCATGCAGACAGAGCAACATAGGACAAGCAACACATACCATGCAGACAGAGCAACATAGGACAAGCAACACGTAGCATGCAGACAGAGCAACATAGGACAAGCAACACGTACCATGCAGACAGAGCAACATAGGACAAGCAACACGTACCATGCAGACAGCGCAACATAGGACAAGCAACACGTAGCATGCAGACAGAGCAACATGGGTCAAGCAACACGTAGCATGCAGACAGAGCAACATAGGACAAGCAACACGTAGCATGCAGACAGAGCAACATAGGTCAAGCAACACGTAGCATGCAGACAGAGCAACATAGGTCTAGCAACACGTAGCATGCAGACAGAGCAACAGCACAAAAAGCAACAAAACAAAATGCATAAAAGCAACAAAGTGTTTCCACACCTCACAAGCTACAGACAACATAAAGATGTTATTTGATTTATTGGAAAAATAGGATGTTGAATTACCATTATCCTTTTGTTTTGACAGTTGTGACACTTAAATTAGTATTCTGGTACATGAAGGACAAGAAAATGTAAGAAAATACAAAATATGAATTAATTTGAATTTGAATGTTTCATAAGTTTTCCCAAGAAGCTCATCCAGGTTGTCAGTATTCAACATTGTTTGCTTTGATGTTAATGCAGTGGTTTCCCTGTTTCTTACAGCTCCCCGGGAACCTTCTGGAAGTTCACCATAGTCCTGGAATGGCAGCACCTACCCTCACTGTCAGCAACTCCTGCCCTGCGGATCTAACCAATATTAAAAGGGAATACTCTGGTATGGTCTTGTTCCTATACTAGGCCCTGTACTAGGTCTATTATCCTTATTTTATATAGCTCTGGAGATGAGCATGTTTGTTTGGATTATAAACTTCTTATGCAATGTCCTACATAACTTTCCATTTTATTGAGATGGAAAGGTTCAATTGTAACTTGTGTAAATGGTAAGATAATTCCCCTGTAGCTCAGTTGGTAGAGAATGGTGCTTGCAACGCCAGGGTTGAGGGTTCGTTTCCCACGGGGGGCCAGTATGAAAATGTATGCACTCACTAACTGGAAGTTGCTCTGGATAAGAGCGTCTGCTAAATGACTAAAAAATGCATGGCAGCACCTATAAAGTGTATGTTATGTTTAAGATGCAGATACCAAAGCGCTGGTGAAAGAGAGACAGAAGAAAGACAACCATAACCTCAGTGAGTCAAAGCTTTTTACTCACTTCTGTATTGTTCTTAACCCACTATGATGCTAGCCAGCTCTTGTTCCTCTTGGAGTGGCGGTGAGTTTCATTTCTCTTTGTCTGCATGGTTTCTCTTGACAGTTGAGAGGAAGCGGAGGTTTAACATCAATGACCGCATAACGGAGCTGGGGTCCATAATACCCAAGTCAAGTGACTCGTGAGTTTGTCATTCTTTATTTCTTATTCAGGACATTTACTTTGGATGAATGAATCAGTTGTGGTATTGACACAAATTAATTATAGGAAATCTCAATCAGATTTTCAATTTTGGCCATGAAAAGCAATATTCAATTTGTATCAGATTTGATATTCCTCTCTAACAACCTTCTCTCTTCGTCTCATGGCTGTAGGGAGATGCGCTGGAATAAGGGCACCATTCTAAAGGCCTCAGTGGACTACATCAGGAAGCTGCAGAAGGAGCAGCAGAGAGCCAAGGAGGTAGAGATGCGTCAGAAGAAGCTGGAACATGCTAACCACAGCTTGATGCTGCGCATCCAGGTCCGTTTTTGGACATAGTTAGTTGAATACAAGGAGAAAAAAGCAAGAAATGCTATCATACAATGTATTTAGTGATTGTGACTAATTTTCCCTTATTGTTCTTTTGTGAAGGAGTTGGAGGTGCAGGCTCAGCTTCATGGACTCTCTGGTCTGAGTTCAGACCTCTCCCTCCTCCAGCAGCAGCACCTTCAGCAGGGACGTCATACACTAGGGCCCAGTGCTGGAAAGGCCTGCTCCCAAACCTTTCTCAGCCTGGGTTCAGCAGCCATGGCACAGCCTGTCCCTACCTCCTTCCTCTCTCCACCGTCCTCTGACTCCCCTGTGGGTGTGACCATAGACAGCCCCCTAGATCTGGGCAGTCTGAGCTTCGCAGAGCTGGATGACCCCTCCAATGCTGGGCTGTTCCCAGACGTGGGGTTGGGGGACATCCTCATGGACGAGGGGTGCACACTGTCCCCTGAGAGGGTGGACCTACTGTTTTTTGTGTCACCAGGTGCCTCAAAGACCAGCAGTCGTAGGAGCAGCTTCAGCATGGAGGAGGACTTGTAAAAGGGTCATATTGGGGTCAAGCTGGTCGATAGAGACAAGAGATTTGGGGAATGAAAGGGCTGGGGAAGGAGGAGGAGCCCAGGAAAATAAAAGCCCCAGAGTTAGAACACTGCATATGGCACTGGACTCTGCTTTAAAACAAAGCCAATTGTTTAACTAAACAGGACTTTGATCTGAATCATGCATCAGTATAAAATAAATGACAATCCTTTCCTCTCTTACCAAGTTAATATTGGTTCCTAAACGTAGAAAAATAAAACAAACTTTTCAGTACACTGTCAATAGTAATGCAATTATTTTCAAATGGAACATAGTAGAATTAGGATTTGGATATGGACAATGGACATTGATTTTTGCAAGCCTCAACTCAACCAAGAGTTCCCTGCAGAGAAATGAAAGAGGAAATAGTGGTGGTTTAGTCAAGTATATTATTGCTCCTTGTAGAGCATGCACTTTGCAACTTTTGTGGGAAGAAAGCAGTGAGGTTCTTGTGTCTTGGCATGAACTACATAATGGGTGCTCTATTGAATTTAGATATTTTTTAACTGACTTGAATCAGGATTTGTTAGCTTAAAGTGTGCCAGTGTATGCCTGTTTTTACACATCTCAGAAGGTTTGTCTAACAAAAAGTATTATTTATTAAATATATGGCACATTGTGTTTGTGATATAAAAAAACATTTGATGACCAGTAAAAACAAAAAAATCTAGATTTACTGTATCTTACATTTACTTTCAAAACATGTTTGTTGCACCTTTTCCTGTTGTCTATGCATTTATTAAAGCTTTTGTCCGTTGAATGGCTGTACAGCCGGTCAGTAACATAACAAGAGAAGGAGAGAAGTAAAGGCTACTGCAGCTAGTCAGCCAAAGCAGGCCACCTTTCACAGAACGGTCATATATTTAAGTCATTATACAGGTGTGTTATATATTTGTTATATAATAAATGGAAGTATAGCTTTAACGTATGTCAATCTCTGGAACACTGCATGCAACATGTGTGTTTGTGTTGCAAAAACATGTACTGGGTTGTGTGTAGTCGTCTATTTCTGAGACAGTCATATGGTCATTTGTGATGATATGATAGTAATAAGATTAATATAGCTATTTTCCAAGGCCTCTTAACATACAGTTAAAATGTATCCTTAATCCGCTACTTTTTCCTGAGTCATCTAATCTGAAAAGGAGTATGGTGATGGGACTGTAACATTCCCCATGATTTTCCCAGAGATTGAAATCTGTATATGGTTATTGTGTATCACTGCTCTAGCCCCCATAGTCTTTCTTTCATTTGTATTGACAAGCTTTTCAAAGAAAAGTACATTCATTACCTGTATATGTTTAGGGATCTGTTTCCACATCTGGAACTCTGTTTTGCTATGTATTGCCATTGATGCTTCCCAGATGCTTCTCACTGTTGAAACAATTGTGCCTTTCCTCCATGTCAATGAAGATACCTGCACAGTGTACTCTCCTAACACAGGCTTTTATACAGTAAAACACTATGAAGATGAAAATGTTTGAGACATGAACTCGAAAAACAATGCAATATCTGTCTGTCTGATTATCTGTTTCTAATGCACATTGTAGTGTTTGTTTGTGTCAATTAATCCCTTAAAGGATGTGTTGCCAACTGGCGGTTTGACACAAATACAATTTCATTTATTAATTAATTGTCTGTGATTTGATATGAGATCCTCTAATTTGAATCATTTAGAAAAATATATTTTTGCTGTTCTGATTTTCAGTAATGGTTCTGCTTTTACTGGAATGCAAACCTCTAACAGCCTTAAAGGGAATATATTGTTGTTGGCCACTTTTAATTATATTTGAATGTGTATGGAATTACTTGCTTTTTCTATACTCCGATAAGCAACCTGTCTAAATCTACACTATTGTCTGGTGTGTTTGTTTATTTTAAACTAAATAAAAATCTGGAAAAAACTTTTGCCTATGTTGATTGCTTTTCATTGCAGTGATGCAATTACAGTTTCATGCTTGGTCTATTTAATCATGGTATTTCACAATGGAAAAAGGGTTTTCAGAGTGCATTGTGTCTCTATGGTTGGCCTTCATTGTTCCAAACATGCTTTTCTTGCATACCCGCTGCTTTCTCAGACTGGCCCTTGGATTAGGAATGTATTCAATGGGTAAAAGCAATTTAGTAGTGTTGTGGCTTTCATTCCATTATAAATCATTTTTCTTGAATGTAAGGAACGGCAACACTAATTTTCTGTAAATGTATACAGTATATTTTTACATTTTTAGTCATTTAGCAGACGCTCTTATCCAGAGCGACTTACAGAAGCAATTAGGGTTAAGTGCCTTGCTCAAGGGCACATCGACAGATTTTTCACCTAGTTGGCTCGGGGATTAGAACCAGCGACCTTTCGGTTACTGGCACAACGCTCTTACCCACTAAGCTACCTGCCGCCGCTACCTGCCGTATACTTAGGTGACTTCTGAATATCAAACCATACTGAAAATGTGCCCTATCCTGCCAATATATTACATTAGTAGAATTCATCAACTTGATTGTCCATAATAATGGTACCATACTTCTGTTAACATTTCATTATCGGTTGTCCTTTCAAATGCTGATGCCTTCCTTGCTACTAAGAACTCCAGATCATTTACCCTACCCCCACCTCACTCACCACTTAAGGCCACTTTGCTCTGAAGTAAATGTACATTTGTATATGAGCAGAGTTATGGTTTAGTTAATCACTACTCTCAATTAACTGTACTTAGAGTGCAGTGGTACCCTCTCTCTCAACAGTCTCGCTCCCTTCCTATCAGCAATAAATTATCACAGAGTTGTCTGTATGTGGTTACAGTGGGCTCTCGTTTACATTGTGTTCCACCTTGAGTCATTGGTTAGAAAATCATGTTGCCAGTGCAGATTTCGAAATGCAAAGAACCAAGCAGACTTTGTCAGTTACCCCAAGATCTAAATTAAATGTAACAACTACATTTGTTAGATGACTGAGTGGATTCGTTATTGTCCTTTGAGTTTGGCCCACACGATCTCTACAATCTCTGACTCTTGACAGTGTTCACAATCGTTTGACACTAACCAGGTTAGTGGAAGAGCATTTGTGAGATCTCCATGCCTAGATCCACACACTCGGTGGCCTGTATGCATATATCACAGACACAGCACTCAAATCCTGGATCTACACACAGGCAGCAGTGGGCATCCATACACCCACAGCAGCCACAGTGATGGGTCATGTCCAGCAAAGGCTCCAGGGAATCAGGCTCACAGCAGCACACTGTGGTGCACAGGGAGGAGCACAGGGACGAGGCACAGGCATGGCATCCTTTCCCCGTGGCCAGTAAACAGTCCCAAGGCTGGCAGAAAATACATGCCAAGAGGATGGAGGCACACAGGTGTGAAAAGACAGGAAGCAGGGAAACATGGATTGGAAGGCATTTGTAAAGAGGAAAGTACAAAACTATAAATACAAAACTACATTTAAATCTATAAGTAATTTATTTCTTCACATTCAGAAAAGGCTCTCACCATCTCCATCCACTTGGTTGATCTGGACAGCAGAGGTTTTGTGGCTGCTCTTTCTGATTGAAGTGGATGGCTGTCTCATTTGGTATGGTGGGCAATGCTTTGAGGTGGTCAACTGTGGGGAAATGGGCTGTGGTTGTTATTTTGCCACAGACCATTGTTGTGCTTCATTCATCGTGTCCGTTGGTAAGGTAATATGGATGTTCTGGTGGTGAAATTCAGAATTCTCATCAATTGGAGGTTCTGAATATGATATGCAATTAGATTAAGAAATAAGTGGTTACTCTTTCAGCTAATGCAATGTCATCTTGTACAATATTCTTGTGTACAGATTGCTTCAATCTTCATTCAAAATGATACCTAATCTTGTTGTCGGTAATGCAGAATGAATAGGTAGCAGGCAGGAACTCTCATTGGCAGAAACATCAGTCAAAGATAGTTGACTGTCCTCATGATGCATCCAGTCCAACAAAGTGGTATCCTCTGTCAAAGATTATTTAATTGGGAAGAAAATACCATGTTACAACATGCAATATTAGTTTCCTGGGTGAGGGGAAGAAAACATAACACATAGCAATGAGATGAGAATACATAGCATCACCCAGATAATGGTGAACATTCACTTTGAAAGGCTAGCAATCTGAAGCACATGAAGTACCTGTGTGGTCCACTGTCGATCCATTGGGAGCATTTTGTGCACTTAGGTCGTCTATTACATAGCACAACTGTGATCTCTCTGGATTCACTTCTCCAGACTCCAGGTTACCATCCATGGCATCAGTTATGAAACATTTGCTGTCTCCAAAGCAGCACAGTCAATTTGAAATCTAAAAGGCAACAAAGAGACAAAGGATATTTCAGCCATTCACAAAATTGGTTCCAGGCAGTTTTAAGTACTTTCATTTACAATCAGGACCTGGTGGAAATGCACAGATATGCAAGAAATAGCATGGTTATTAATCTATTATTAATCTCCATTTTGGAAAAGACATCTGGATACTGGCCAGGATGAGGAAATGCTGACATCCTAATGAAAGTACAGGAGCACACCATTTTCTTTTTCTAGCAATAAGCAAGAGTTTTGATAGGTTTGTAAGTGTAGGAATTGACCTATACATCAGCACAACCCCCTTCACTGGCCAGGAGTCCCTTTTGAGGTACCAGTCTTGACCAGCAGGCACAGGATATATGGCCCCGATCAGCCTGCAAACTTAACCCATGTATATCATGTATTCTAAACATATTTAAAAATGAATATATAAAATACTTGTATTTGCTTTGACTACAATGAACGATAGAGAGTAGAATCCACATCACATTCAGAAGCAATTCAATGTTCATGTTTCTCAAGACACATAATACCAAATTATACTAAATGAAATATTGAAAGGGGTATTGGTTTGATCAAATGCATAGCAAATATGTTTTACTTATTGTGAATCTATTTCTAAATTGATTGAGAATAATTCATTTGTACAGGACAGAAGTATCACACAAAGTATCATGCACAGTATCATACACACAATGAATTGTACTACAGTTTTTCTCGATTGCTAAGACACATTTCTTGAAAGCTGCTCTCCTTTTCTCTTAACTGTGAAAACAAAACCCAATTTTCAAGCTACATTCACAAAACCTCAGACTCTTCTTGCAAAACCAAACTTTCACCTCAAAACAGTTCAATCTGTGCTCAAAACTGAACTATGTTGTCAAATCGTGCCCCGAGTCAATCAAAATTAAAAACACTACTGAACAGTCACTAAACACTACGTAGAAAAACAGAAAACACAATGCTCAGGACATGAAGCTGGAGAAATAAATGTTTATTGTTCACTGTAGGCTAAATGCATGTTGCAAAACAAAAAAAAAACTGTGCATTTAGCACTTGTACAAAAAGACAAAACAGAAATCTTGTGCATTTACATGTAGCACTTGTAAAAACAAACAGAAATCTTATGCGTTTGCCACTTGTGTACAGTAAGCCCATGTAAAAATAAAGTACAAAAATATACAAATAAGTGCATTACTCAGCCACAGCATCATGTCTCCGTACTGGGTCAGGCCACAGGACTTCATCCACATCACAGGCCACATTTTGTCTGGCCAGGCAACGGGGGAAAAAACCCCTGGCATGCCGTATCCAGGCTTGGCATGCCTCCACACCTATGTCACCACAGGCAAGTCCCATGGCTTGCAGGAGATTTACCCTGGTGTAAGGTTGGCGTTCATATACCTTCCACCGCCATGAGGAGAATAATTCCTCAATGGGGTTTAGGAAAGGGGAGTACGGTGGAAGGCAAAGATTGATAAAACCTTGGTTCATATTGTACCACTCTCTAACCTGGAGGGCTCTGTGAAAACTCACATTGTCCCAAACAACAACATAGATGGGATGCTCATCCTGCTGCCCTAACAAAGCATCTCGCATGTGATTGAGGAAAATGAGGAGCTGGTGAGTGTTGTAGGGCCCCAGGTTGGCATGATGGTGGACAACCCCATGATTGCTGATGGCAGCACATAATGTGACATTGCCACCACGCTGCCCAGGAACACCAACAATGGCCCGATGGCCAATCACATTACGGCCTCTCCTTCTCCTTTTGGTGACATTAAACCCAGCTTCATCCATGTAGATGTATTGATGGGGTCTTTCCATTGCATCCAGTTGAAAAACCCTCTGTAGAAATAGATATAGTTTTGTAAGTGATACGGAAAAAGTGATTTAGGCCACTACAGTAAATCACTACTTAGAGTAATCAACATTGAATGTGTCTGGATATATGCCAACCTGTACATACTGGAATCTTTGCTCTTTGACTCGGTCTGAGTTGCGATCAAAGGGCACTCTGTATAGCTGTTTCATGCGCAGTCTGTTGCGCTTGAGGACACGATCAACAGTAGAGAGGCTGACACTGTTGATACCCTCAAAATGTAAATGGTCCTCAATGATCTTCTGCTGAATTTCGCTCAGTTTAATGGCATTGTTCTCACGGACCATATCAACAATTAGGGTCTCTTGGTGTGGGGAGAACATACCTGTCCTCCCACCCCCATGTGGCAGTCTTTCAATTCTACAAAAAGAGAACATGGAGTTACAAAAAATATACATGGAATACTAGGCCTACAAACAGTTAGACCAACCCTCCATTACAATACTACAGTACATTGGTACAGTGATGTACTGAAACATATATTTACTTACAGTATATAGTATGTCATACAGTAATTGCTGTCAACATTTACATACTGTACTATAATGTCAAAAAAAGGTAATTACCTGTTCTCTTCTCTAAATCTTCGGATTATGGTGGACACAGTGAATCTACTGATGTTTGGTTGTACCCTTTGTCCAGCCTCCCTCATGCTCATACCATGGACAAGAACATGGTCAATCACAGTAGCTCTGATTTCATCAGATATTACTGTTCTTTGTCTTCGCTGACCACCTCGACCACCTCGACCTCCTAACACACGAACTCTTCCTCTCAGATTTCTATCCATTGTAGGGCCTCACAAACCAGTGCTCTCTGAACTGGCTTACTGTATATGTTCCCTCACATCATTAGCCACAAGTGTGATCAATTTTGAGTTGTTGTGTTCAAGTGGTGACACCTGTGCTCTAATTGTGTTTGACTTTTGTCACCTGTGCTCACCATTATGCAGCACGGGTGCATCACAATGAAAATGTGTTGGCAAGTTATGTCTAAACAGGTGAAAAGTGCTTATGGTTTTGCCAAAAGAGTGATTGATTCAATCAGTGGGTTCAGGCAACTGAGCATTTGGTTCAGACAATAGGGTTTAGTGTTTTAGCAATTGAGAAAAACTGTAATAGATAAATAAAGACTTTGCAATGCAACCACCGTAATTACATATTCTGTTATAAACTAAATGTACTTACATTAGAAGCTTGAGCTTGGATAGAAGCTCTCTGGCATTGTAGTCGAAAGTGGACATAGCCTACTGTACTAACAACCTAAACAACATTGCGGACTACCTATCCCCTCCCTCTCATGCTCCTCTCCCTGGTGTATGCGTGTGTGTGTGTGGGTGCGTGCGTGCGTGTGTGGGGGAGAGAGAGAGAGAGAGAGAGAGAGAGAGAGAGAGAGAGAGAGAGAGAGAGAGAGAGAGAGAGAGAGAGAGAGAGAGAGAGAGAGAGAGAGAGAGAGAAATAGAGAGGAGGGGGGTGAGATGAGACTTGATTCCGAAACAATAACTATGTGGGATGTAATGCTGCTATCTTAAATCTAACCAAGTCAAACAAGGTAAAACGTTTCACATTTGGAATGCACCCCATTTAGTGACGCCTTGATGATAGACGCCAACCAAGACATCCTGCAGTCACGGCAACTGGGGAATGCTGGGAGCGAGGAGGGTAAGCAGAGGGCATACGGGTGGACAATCGGGCAGAAGGTGGTAGAATATGGACTGGGGGAGAGAGAGATAGGGCCGGCAGTTGCGTTGGGGAACATTCCTCTGTGGCTGTTTCCGAAACCAAGTGTAGATGTGGACATGATTGAGGGCAGGAGAGAATGGGGTGAGGACATGACGGTGTGTGGTCCTCTGTAGCTCAATGTGGTCCTCTGTAGCTCAATTGGTAGAGCATGGCGCTTGTAACGCCAGGGTAGTGGGTTCGATCCCCGGGACCACCCATACGTAAAAATGTATGCGGACATGACTGTAAGTCGCTTTGGATAAAAGCGTCTGCTAAATGGCATATTATTATTATATAGATAATCGGTTTTATTCGTTTTTAAGGATACAGATGGTTCAAAGGATCCAGTCAGTGGAAGGGTGGGGGCTGGGGTGTATATCCCAGATTTCAATGTTAGAGTATATAAGTGGTTAACTGATTATTTGTCAGTGTATGCGGCAGAGTTGATGGCAATGATTTTGAGATCGGTGGACGAGGTGAAACCACTTAGAGTGGTGATCTGCTCTGATTCAGCTGCAGTGTTGAGTAGTGTGAAGACAGGCATGTTGGATAGGGGAGACTTGTTTTTGGAGATGATGGTGCTGTTAATGTGATTGGAGAGGATGGGAGTGGTGGTAAGCTTTTGCTGGGTTCCCGCCCATGTGGGTGGGTGTGGAGTGTAATGAGAAGGCCGATGTGGTGGCTAAGAATGCTGTGAGGAGAGAAGGGGTAGATATTCAGGTCCTGCTGGGCCGCAGGGAAGTCAAGTCCCTGATCCGGGCAAAAGGACTCGATCTTTGGCAAAGGGAGTGGGATGCTAGTAGTTAAGGAATAGGTGGGGATTATGGGATGTAGGAGGAAATTGTGTGGAGTAGACTACGGTTGTGGATGAAAGGGAAACATGAAACAGGTCTGTGTGATGAGTGTTTAGTTGAGGAAACGGTGGAGCATGTGTTGATATCTTGTGAATTGTATGACATAGATAGGGAGAGATTGTGTGAAAGGGTTAGGGAGGCTAGATGGTGTTGGGGTTTGGGGGGAGGAAAGGGGAGGGAAGTGGTGTCTAGGGCTCTATTTCACTTTCTTAAAGAAGCAGGACTAAGGAAGAGAATTTAATGTACAGTGGCTTGCGAAAGTATTCACCCCCCTTGGCATTTTTCCTATTTTGTTGCCTTACAACCTGGAATTATAATGGATTTTTTGGGGTTTGTATCTTTTGATTTACACAACATGCCTACCACTTTGAAGATGCAAAATATTTTTTGTGTGAAACAAACAAAAAATAAGACAAAAGAACAGAAAACTTGAGGCAAACTGCTCCAGCTCTTTCAAGTCGGATGGGTTCCGCTGGTGTACAGCAATCTTTAAGTCATACCACAGATTCTCAATTGGATTGAGGTCTGGGATTTGACTAGGCCATTCCAAGACATTTAAATGTTTCCCCTTAAACCACTCAAGTGTTGCTTTAGCAGTATGCTTAGGGTCAAGAACTTCCCTGTATTTAGCGCCATCCATCATTCCTTCAATTCTGACCAGTTTCCCAGTCCCTGCCGATGAAAAACATCCCCACAGCATGATGCTGCCACCACCATGCTTCACTGTGGGGATGGTGTTCTCAGGGTGATGAAAGGTGTTGGGTTTGCGCCAGACATAGCGTTTTCCTTGATGGCCAAAAAGCTCAGTTTTAGTCTCCTCTGACCAGAGTACCTTCTTCCATATGTTTGGGGAGTCTCCCACATGCCTTTTGGCGAACACCAACGTGTTTCCTTATTTTCCTGGCTTTTTTCTGGCCACTCTTGGCAGGTTTGTTGTGGTGCCATATTATTTCAATTTTTTAATAATGGATTTAATGGTGCTCTGTGGGATGTTCAAAGTTTCAGATAAAAAAAATTATAACCCAACCCTGATTTGTACTTCTCCACAACTTTGTCCCTGACCTGTTTGGAGAGCTCCTTGGTCTTCATGGTGCCGCTTGCTTGGTGGTACCGCTTGCTTAGTGGTGTTGCAGACTGGGGCCTTTCAGAACAGATGTATATATACTGAGATCATGTGACAGATCATGTGACACTTAGATTGTACACAGGTGGACTTTATTTAACTAATTATGTGACTTCTGAAGGTAATTGGTTGCACCAGATCTTATTTAGGGGCTTCATAGCAAAGGGGGTGAATAAATATATGCACGCACCACTTTTCGTTTTTTATTTTTTAGAAATTGTTTTCATTTCACTTCACCAATTTTGACTATTTTGATCTATGTCCTTTACATGAAATCTAAATGAAAATCAATTTAAATTACAGGTTGTAATGCAACAAAATAGGAAAAACGCCAAGGGGGATGAATAGTTTTGCAAGGCACTGTAGTTAGGCCGTGACTGGCCTCACACTCCAGTACAGTACGTGGCGGTGTATGCACCTTGAGATTTGGATGCGATCCGCCAACCCAATCCCAAAGAAGAAGAAGAAAAAGAAGAAGAAATCCCACTCCGTACATTCTATTGTTTTTTTATGAAGAGTATATACCTTATCACGTGTATTTGGGTTATATGAGATTCCCTGTGAGCCTTCATGCTCAAACCCATGCATTGTGATAAATGTAAATTATTTGGTCATGCGTCAAGTGTATGTAGACGGGAGGAGTATTATGTGCCAGCTGAGCCTAAATGCTACAATAGTGGCGATGAACATGCACCCGAATTTCAGAAGTGTCCTGTTAGGGTGAAGGAGACGGAGGTGCAAGAATAAGGGCTGTCCAGAATGTATCCTATCCTGAGGCGTTGAGAAGAGTGGAAGAAAGGATTGAAGTTGAAGAAGTAATGGTAGAATCCGCTGCTCGTTGAGAAGAGTAAGAACGATACGTGCTTTCACGTCAGAGTCTCCAAAAGTCTCCATTTTTTTTTGGAAAATGTGTCGCTAGAGGTGTCTGAATACTTAGCGACAAAGTCACTAAGTTGGCAACACTGAAGGAGGGGGATGGTTGTTTGATTTACTTTTGTATTTTGTCAGGTCCCTGTACAGTAGGTGGCGGCAATACACAAATATGTGTAGTCTGCCATAAGAAGAAAAATGGTTGGTCAGAGTGTTGTTCAACAGTTGAGGGACACTGATATGCTGATTGTGAAAAATGTGGATTTTATTATGTTTATCACACGTGATTAATTGTACTGCACAAACAAACAAAAAGTCAAAGAAACTGGACATAATAGTATCTGCGTCTGAAAGGTTTTTGGGTTTCCAGAATTTTACTACCGAAACATTGCAAAGAATACTGTCCGAAGATGCTCTTCCTTCTCAGGCCTGTAGAGATGGGCGTTGGTAGTTGAATCTGAATAAAGGAGTACATTGAGTTGTGTTTTTGTTTAGTTTTATTTTGTTAAGTATTTGGGCAGATAGCCAAAACAGTAGGTGGTGGCATGCAACTATACGCAGCATATGTTTGCGGACCGCCATAATATTTACATTTTAGTCATTTAGCAGACGCTCTTATCCAGAGCGACTTACAGGTAGTGAGTGCATACTTTTTTTTATATACTGGCCACCCGTCGGAATCGAACCCACAACCCTGGCGTTGCAAACGCCATGCTCTACCAACTGAGCTACATCCCTGCCGGCCATTACCTCCCCTACCCTGGACGACGCTGGGCCAATTGTGCGCCGCCCCATGGGTCTCCCGGTCGCGGCCGGCTACGACAGAGCCTGGATTCGAACCAGGATCTCTAGTGGCACAGCTAGCACTGCGATGCAGTGACTTAGACCACTGAGCCACTCAAAGAAGAAGACCCATTACAGGAGGTGGCAGCAATACACCAATAGGTGTAGTCTGCCATAAAACTTTAAAGAGGCAGGTGTGTTTTGCAATGTCTGGCCCTCCAACTCCTCTTCCAAGCTGTCAGTGGGGTACTAGGGGGTAACTATCCCAATGGGACAACTGCCCTACAGTGAAGCATGGTGGTGGCAGCATCATGCTGTGGTGAAGTGTTTCAGCGGCAGGGGCTGGGAGACTAGTCAGGATCGAGGAAAAGATGAACGGAGCAAAGTACAGACAGATCCTTGAAGAAAACCTGCTCCAGAGCACTCAGGACCTCAGACTGGGGCGAAGGTTCACCTTCCAACAGGACAACGACCCTAAGCACACAGCCAAGACAATGCAGGACTGGCTTCAGGACAAGTCTCTGAATGTCCTTGAGTGGCCCAGCCAGAACCTTGACTTGAACCCGATTGAACATCTCTGGAGAGACCTGAAAATAGCTGTGCAGAGAAGAATGGGAGAAACCCCAAATACAGGTGTGCCAAGCTTGTAGCGTCATACCCAAGAAGACTAGAGGCTGTAATCTCTGCCAAAGGTGCTTCAACAAAGTACAGAGTAAAGGGTCTGAATACTTATGTAAACGTAATATTTCCGTTTTTTATTTTTAATAAATTTGCTAAAATTTCTACAAAACAGTTTTTGCTTTGTCATTATGGGGTATTGTGTGTAGATTGATGAGGAACAAATCAATTTGATCCATTTTAGAATACGTCTCTAACGTAACAAAATGTGGAA